ATCTGAAAATGTTTTACTTTAAAGTTGCTTAATTTATAATATTTGACCATGACATGATCGAGTTTCTAGGGAATAATGTAAGCCCATACTGTTCAAAAGGGCAGGGCCGAAAACAACCTCATCAAAGAAGTGACAAAAATGTAAAAGCAAAATGATTCCTAGCTCTAATTCAATTTTGCTATAAAATGGGTCAAAGCCTATCACTTATACACGAAGGAAAATTTATGTCTTTCCGTCTCATTGATTGGATGAAGTTTTTCATTACACTGTATATCCAGAAGAATCAAGGGTGGTTAAGGGTTAACAGCCTCAGCCTTTGGCTTCTGACATCACTAAAAACTCATATTCATCAATTATTATTGCTCTTTCATCATTGCAGAGAGCTTAACTTACTGCGTTCTTTGTTTTTTCCTGCATTTTCATCTTCTTTAACATTATCCACTTTTTTCTCTATTTCATAGTCGGAAATTGTGATCAGAATGAAAAAAAAAAAAATTTTAGCCATGGAGCCCTACTGAACAAGTGACAAATATCCCCTGCAGCAACAAGTAAAAAATAACCAGGAGCATCCTTAGCCAAATATTAGAGAATGGGACTTCAGTGTATAATAATTAGATTTACTTTATACTACATAGTTGTGGCAATCAAAGGCAGTATTACCTCTCACTACAATTTGATAGCCCTTCAGCACCCCATTTGATGTAGCTGGTGGTTCCCAGGTGATTTTAATTTGTGATGTGGATTTGTTTAAAACTCTGAGGCATTGGGGTGCACTGGGGACTAAAACACAAGATGCCATGATAACAATATAATGAATGTTACTAAAAGTTCAAACCACTGAAAAATGCTCACTATTCAATATTTAAAACTTGTCTACACACAGCTTATATTAACAAGAAATGAAACAGTTGATGTCTCAAATTTACCTGATTCTAGAGTAATGACGGAAACAACTTTGCTTTGTGGACTATCATCTCCTTCAGTAGAGACTTGCAGATGGAAACTGTACCTTGTGACTGGTGTAAGATCACTTGCTATGTAACTTGTTCTTGGACCAGAGTAAACCACTTTCCCATCTGAACAATCAATTGAGAACAACAAATGA